ACACTGATAGGGGTGAGCCCTAAGTGAAAGAAGGCAAACCCCCAAGTCCACATAGTGTGTGATTCCGTTTCTGTGTAATATCCATACCAAGTAAGTCCAAGAGACCAAAAGGAGACTAGAGGATACCAAAGGTTGGGAAATGAGAGGTAAACATTCTGATTTATTTTTTTTTTTGGTGTGATAGAAATATTTTAAACTAGATAGGTAGTGGCTGCCAAACATTGTGAATGTACTAAATGCTACTGAATTGTTCATTTTTATTGGTTAATTTTATGTAATCTGAATTTCATCTCAAAAGATCAAGACCAAATTAATGTCTTCTAAGCATTCCTTCTTCTAAAGCCAACACCACTAAAACAGCCTTCAGAAGCCAAGTGTGGTGGTGCACGCTATAATGCCAGCAACTCAGGAGGCAGAAACAGGAGGACTGTGAGTTCAAGGCAAGCCTAGGCAACTTAGCAAGACCCTGTCTCAAAAAAAAACAAAAAACAAAAAAGCATTCAATTATTAAAGAAGACTCAATGAGAATGCTTATACATCTGCAATCACTACACAAAAAAGGGTTCAATATAGCATTAAAGTGAGGGTATGCATCACAGTCAGTGGAAGTCCCATAGCAAAGGGTCCAGGTGCAAACCATTAATCTGTTGACTACTGTCAGTTCTAACAAACTGATTTGAAACTTCTTACAACACTTTTTTTTACTCACTATGGTACCCAGGCTGGTCTTGAACTGTGCTAAGTTCAAGTGATCACTGCCTCAGCCTCCCAAGTGCTGGGGTTACAGATACGTGCCACTATCTTGCAACACTAGGAGTCAGTGTATTTCATGCCTTGACCAGGGTCAGTGCCACACAGGAACAGTAGCAAAAAATCTAAGGCTGATTCCAGTCCTGCTGGAATTAACCCTCATAGATGGTAGTACACAGACATTAGAAAATTGATTCTGTGTTCTGCCTTTAGTTTTCCCAGTGTTAAGCACTGTTGGTTTCCTTAACTATTCCTCTTTTGTCATATTTTCTGTTGTTTCAGTAACCTTCCTCTCTGTATGCACTAGTTAGTATATTTCAAATAGAGGGTCCAAGACTTTAGTCACAGCCAGACCAGCAAGACTACTTACTAGTACAAACATAATAAGTATAATGTCTGAATCTTTCTTCAAATCGTTGATTTTTAAAATAAGGAAGCTAAGAACAGACCTGTGGGACAATGATAAGGGCTCCTTTGGGACTGACATCAGTGCAGTGATGAATATCTTTGGATATGGTATAAAATCAGTTACAAATCAACTTAGTAGTATTCTGATCCATACTTCTCTCACTTGTCCATGCTGTTGTTATGAGAAACTTTATAAGCATCTTAGAAGTATTAAGTTTGGCATTCCCTCTATCTACCAGCCCAGTAATGACATCAGATGATAGGGAAGTGGAGTTGGGTGATATTGTTTGTTTGTTTGTTTGTTTGTTTTTGCAGCATTGAGAATCAAACCCAGGGCCTTGTACATGCTAGACAAGTGTACTACCACTGAGCTGCATCCCCAGCCCTGTGCCTTATTTTTCTTAAGTGTTCTCAATTCTAGTTTAAAATATTTCTGTAAAGTTTTCGTGTTTCTAGGGATCAAACTGAGGGTCTGACACATGCTAGGCAAGCACTCTACTCAGCTATATACCAGCCCTCCTTCTCAAATGGCACAGTGTCCCTGCACTCAGCCCTGTCTCCATCTTTCCCTTCTCCCTCTCTCCCCACACACCATTTTTATGAAATTGTTCCTGAAATGCTTTTTCTGTCCACTCTTCCTTCTACGTAAGCTATACAGTGTTCTTTTATGATGTATTCTGTTTATGAGATGTTTTCAGAGTGAAAAGCAAAGAAAACCCATTTTACATTTTTCAAGAATCAAAATACAGAGCTAGAGGAGTGACACAAGTGGTAGAGTACCTGCCTAGAAAGCGTAAGGCCTGAGTTTAAACCCCAGTACCATGAAAAAAAATTTAAAAAGAATCAAATGTTTAAATTACACCTAGTAAAGTAAAAAGGTCAAGTGTTAATTGGAAGTATTGTCTACATTGTGACAAGACAACCCTGAGACGTGCCAATCAAATAGATTGCCCCTAACCCAGACTAAGGCAGGAGGATTATAACATTGAGACCCTGTTTCAGGCTGGTGCAGTGTCTCAAGCTGTAGAGACCCTGAGTTCAAACTCCAGTACCTCCAAAAAAAGAGAGAGAGACTCTGTCTCAAAAAAAAATTTTTCCTTTGATCTTTACAGGAAGGACTTTAAGCACATAATAAGGATAGTTGACATTTGTACTGGAATCATCTATGAAGCAATCGATCCATAGGAAGTATATTCATTACAAACAGGAAGATTAGGCATTTGACCACCCAGGTAGGAAGAGGGACTTTTTTCTATTCTGGGTAGTCTGCATAGCTGTGAAAGAGCAAGGATTTCAAATTCTCTGTGCCATTCAGTAAGAATCCAAAGGAAATTAATAAAAAGACAAAGTCCCTCTTTTGAATAAATGAATTCGCTAGAACTACCATATTTTCGTCCCACTTTTTTTTCTGGTTTCATGTTAAAAATGTCTGCTAACCATTTATTTATCAATATTTGTGTGTGTCCTTGTATTGTAAATTGCTCATTCATTGGGCAAGTATTTCTTGAGAAACTATTTGCCAGGGCCATGCCTGAGAAACTATTTGCCAGGGCCATGCCGGGTTTCAGAGATACAATGGTGACAACATAGGTCACCCATGTGTCACTGACCTCAATGAACATTCTAGTTGGAAGGAGACAGTAAATATAAATAGTCATCTGGAACTAAGTGCTGTGAAGAAAAATGAAACAACCACAGGGAATGAAGTGTGATGGAAAGAGCTAACCTAGATAGCATGATCCTCTTCAGAGGAAAGACCAGAAAGAAGAGAAGGAGCAAACTGCAAATATTCCTACTACTACCCCATTTGCTTTTATGCTACTGGGCTTTTTGGTAATATCATTACCTTGTATTGAGAAAGGTTATTTAAAATGTTCCTACATTTTAAATGTATCCTAAATTTTCCTACATTTTGAAATGTATATTTTAAATGTTCCTACATTTTAAATGTATGAGAAAGGTTATTTAAAATGGACCTACTGGGTGTGGTGATACACTCCTGTAATCCCAGCACTTGGGAGGCTGAGACAGGAAGATAGCGAGTTCAAAACCAGCCTTGACTACTAGGGAGACCTTATCTGAAAAATCTCTTCAAAATAAGTAAGTAAAAAATAAAATGTTGTATCCACTCTCAAGACTTTTAACAGCTTAAAGAAATTCCTTCTTGTCATACTGTATAATCATAGCCGTATGAAACTGGTTTGCTTTTTTTAGCAAACAAATATTGGGAATTATGTAGCTGACAAGATTTTCCTTTTTCTGCTAGAAAACAGCCCACTCCTAAAGGACATAGCTGTCATAAAGGTCATTATAGTTGTGTATTGTTATTTTGAACTAAATTCATCTTGAGTCTTTTTTTTTCTTTAATTCCATGTGAATTTAAGCTATCCTGTGATATTTTATGAATCTATGTAAGCTAATCAAAATCTTTTAGCAAGGGTCCTAGGTGTGTAGCTCAGTGTCAGAACACTTAACCTAGTGTGAGACCCTGAGATTGATCCCCAACACTGAAAAAAAAAAAAAGACATTATTTTTTAAAACAAAGTCTTGAATTATAAAGAAATAGGCATTTAAAAATAGAAAACCTGGCTGGGTGCTGCGGCTCACACCTCTAGTCCCAGCTACTCTGTAGGTGGAAATCGGGAGGATCACACTTTAGGCCAACCTAGGCAAAAAGTTAGCAAGACCCCTCCCCATCTCAAGAAAAAATCTGGGCATGGTGGTACATGCTGAAATCCCAGTTATGAGGAAGGCCTAAGTAGGAGGATAGTGATCCAAGGCCAGCCTTGGGCAAAAAGTACAATATTCTATCCAAAAAATAGCTAAAGCAAAAAGGTGTGCTCAAGTGGAAGAGATGCTGCCTAGCAAGTTTGAGGCCCTTGAGCTGAAACCCAGTACCAAAAAAAGAGAGCGAGAGAGAAACAGAAAACACACACATAGGTGTGGTTTCCACAGAGAATTAGTAGAATTCAGGCCATTGGTTCTCAGTGGGGGATTTTCTCTCCTAGTGGACATTTTGGCAATGTCTGGTAGCTACCAGTTGCAGGGCTACTGACATTCTTCATTGAACAGGTCAGAACCCCCCAACAAAAAGTTATTTGGCCCTAAATGTTAGTGGTGCTGAAGTTGTGAAACTCTGCTATAAACTAGACCATCCAGTCCAGAATTTTATACACCAGAGCTATAAAAGCATCTTGTTGACAGATATGTTCTGTCCTAGTCATTTGTGCTGCTATAACAAAATACCTGACACTAGCTAATTTATAAACAGATATTCCCCACAGTTCTGGAGGATAGAAGGTACACGATGAAGGGGACAGCAGGTTCAGTGTCTGGACCCATTCTTCATAGATTGTGTCATGTAGGTGTCCTCACATTGCAGAAGGGACAGAAAGAGAGGAATGCTGTGTCCTTCCATTGTGGAAGAACAAGCAGGGCTGAACTCACTTCCTCAAGCCTATTTATAAGATTGCTGATCCCATCAGTGAGTGCATAGCCCCATGATTTAATCATGTCCCAAAAGGCCTGAGCCTCAATACCACCTCAGTGGGGATTAAGTTTTAATATGAGTTACAGGGAACACGTAGCAGTTCCCAGGTTCTTTATTCTAGTATATATAATGTATATTCTTGAGTGGGAAGGTTGAGTTCCTTTCCACTAAATCTATCATTAGTCAAATATTCTGGAAAGCAGTACTTTTTTCTCCAGAAATCTTTATTATGCTTCATAGTCAAAATTCAGGTTGACAAAGCGGGGGTTGGGGGGGGCCTTTATAGTTGAACTCCAGTTTTTTTAATGTTTTGAGTAAGCGGCTGTTCATTTCATCCTCCCTTCTATTTCAGGCTTTCATAGAGACCATGTTTGCCAGTAAAGCCCCTGTGGAGGAAGCCTTTCTTTATGCTAAGGTGAGCCTTGGAGGGTAGAAAACGGTCTTGTTGGGGACAAATGTGAAGTAATTTCAGTGACTGACAAATAGTATATACTCAGCTTCCAGGTTCTCATGGTAGTGATGGCATATCCTTGGAGAGGATTGGTAATTTTACTACATGAGTCTAAAATGTGCAGTGCTACAACCAAAGAAAGAACATTGCAGAGTGGAACAGCTGAGGAAGGAAAGACTTGGAGTGTGAGAAAACAGGAGTGCTGTTTTATTTGAGCAGCAGGAGAGGAAGAAGGGTCTGAGGTGGCACACAGCTGTGGCAGTGAAGCAGTGTCCAGAGTATAATCATGAAATTGGGAAAATTCAGTTTGCCTAATATCCATTTTCACTTGTCCAGAGCACGTTAATTGGTAGCTATTTGAAAACTTGAAATTAGTAATTTAGAGCTGTTTTTTTAAATGTAAGCCATATTTTGTTGTTTAGCTGAGTAAAAAATAAACAATAACCTTACATGATTGTGTCTCTGGACTCAACCTTCATCATAGGTTTTTGTCTGTAGTATTGTGGAGTCAATTTGAAAATCATAGGACATTTAGAGAAGAAAATGGATTTAATAATAAGGTTGAATAACAAGATTGGTGAGTAAGAGCATGTATAGAGTAGATTCTAGTACAAGAGGTGAGAGTCAAAGAAGTGGGCCGAAATTGTGGCATTAAAAAGTTTGGTTAGAGAAGATGCTAGCTTTCCACTGATGACTTAAAGTAAGTGCTTGGCATGCAGGTGAAGCTGTGAAGACAGCCCTACAGAAATTCTTTGAATCATACCTTATTGTTTTTCACAGTTTGAATTTGAATGCCGGGCTCGTGGCGCAGACATCTTAGCCTACCCACCTGTGGTTGCTGGTGGTAATCGGTCAAACACTTTGCACTATGTGAAGAATAATCAACTCATCAAGGTATATAAAACAACCTTCAGTGCTGGTCCCGAGAGGTTCAGATGCCCTAGTAGAAAGCTCACTAACCTTCTGCTTTGACAAATTAACTGCCATTTTAAAAAAAACGCTTTGTTGTTTATGAAAAATTTTTATAGATATTATCACATTCGATCCTTGCATTAGCAATGTTAAATAGGAGCAATTATTAACATACCTGCTTAATTAATGAGGAAAATAAACTTCAAAAAAATTAAGCAACTTGGGCTGGATGCAGTGTTTCAGAATTGTAATCCCAACTACTAGAGAGGCAGATATCTGCAGGATCACAGTTTGATGCCAGCTTAGACAAAATGTTAGTAAGACTCCATCTCAACAAATGAATTGGGCTCACTGGCATATACCACCAGTCCCAGCAATGTGGGAGGCATAGGCAGGATCACAGTCCATGGCAGGCCCTGGACAAGTGTGACACCTTATCTAAAAAATAACTAAAACAAAAATGGCTTCAGTGTATAAAGCACCTGCCTAGCAAGCATGAGGCCCTGAGTTCAAACCCAAATACTGCAAAAAAAAAAAAAAAATCAATCTTAAGCCATTCATTAATACAATGCTAAGTATTATATTCTAGGCCTTTTATTTTTTTATTTTTTTTTTTTAAGGAGACATGATTTTGCTGTGTTACCTTGGAACTGGTGACCTTCCTGAATGCTAGAATTACAGGTGTACACTGCCACTCCCAGTTTATTTTTTTTCACAACTCTGGAGATTGAACCCAGGTCCTTGCATGTGCTAAGCACACACTCTACTATTGAGCTGCATCCTCAACCCTTAATTTTCTATCTTATTATTGGGTAAATTCAAAAGAATAAATATAGCAAACATGTAAATCATGCAGCATCACATCAAAAAAAAAAAAAAAAAAGGAACATCCATGAAGCAGTCTTTCAGCTTTATACCTAGAACGTTAGCAATAGGTTGTGTCTCCTTGTTTTCCCTTAGGCTGTGCCATCCTCTTGCCTCTCCCAAAAGTAACTGGTAGCCTAAATTTTTTCTTTCCCTTGATTTTATAAATATAGTTGTATCACATATACATACTTACACAGACAGTATTGATTAGCTCTGCTTATTTATGAACTATATAAAAATTATATATAGGTATATATAGGTCTGAGAGACCTATTTAAAACTTATTAATGTGGGCCAGGCACAGGGGCTTTCACCTGTAATCTTACCTACTCAGGTAGCAGAGATTCAGAGGATCAAGGTTCGAAGTCAATGGGCAAAAAGTTCATGAGACACCATCTCAACCAATAAAAGTTGGGCCAGGTAGTACACACCTGTCATCCTAGGTATGCAGAAGCATAAATAGGAAGATCATGGTCCAGACTGACCAGGCATAAAACATGAGACCCTATCTCAAAATGACCAAAACAAAAAATGGCTAATAGAGTGGCTGAAGTGGTAGAGCTTGTACCCAGCAAGCACAATGCTCTAAGTTCAAACCCCAGTACTGAAAAAAACAAAAAGCCCCTCATTAATGTGATAGTACATACGTTTCCCAAGTATTTGCATCATTTATATTCCCAACAGTTGTATGCAGTTCTGCTGACCACATCTTTATGCTATTATCAGACTTCCTAGTTTCTGCCATTTGTAGTTGGTATATAACAGCATCTCATTGTGGTCTTAATTTCTATTACCTTAATTGGCAACAAATGCAAACATCTTTTCTTATCTTTAGTACTTCTAGTTTTAAGTTACTGATACTTTGTCTAGGATACTCTTAGCTGTATTCATGAGTGAATTTGGCCCATAAATTTTTTTTATTATGCTGCCTTTTTTTTGGTTTTCATATCATGGTCTAAAGTTCATAAAATTAATAATCTCTTTTTCATTATTTTGGAATGATTTGGATTTATGTTTCTTGAAAATTTGGTAGAACATACCTGTTGAACTATTTGGGCCTGTTATTTTCTTTGTGAACTTAACTTTCTAATTCAATATCAATACATTGTAGCTTTCTATTTACTTCTTTCTTTCCTTCCTTCCCTCACTCCCTTCTTGTGTCCCTCCCTCCCTCCTTCCTTCCTTCCTTCCTTCCTTTCTTTTGTAAAATGTATAATGCCGAAAATTACCTAAAACATAAAGACAAAATTTAATGAGTATTTTTTAAATGAGCCTGGCTGTCAGTAATGCCCAGTCCCACTCATGGACCCTGCCCACACCCATGTAAGGTGTTCAAAAAAATAAAATAAAATAAGCTGCCTTATAACCATTACTCAGTCAAGAAATGGAGCAGATACCGGCAAACTACCATCCTGGAGCCTAATCAAACCCGAGGAGATTATGCCATTCTAAGTGGGGCATGGTGTCTCATGCCTGTAAATCCCTGTTTACAATACCATTTCCGTACTGGGGTTTGAACTTAGGGCCTTGTGCCTGCTGGGTGTAAGCTCTACAACTTCAGCCACTCTGCCAGCCCTTTTTTGCTTTGGTTATTTTGAGATAGGGTATCACTTTTTATGCCTGGTCTGTCTGGACCATGATCTTTTCATCAGGAGGATAGCAATTTGAGGCTAGCCAGACAAAAAGTTACCTATCTCAATAAACAAGCCAAGCATGATAGCACACAGCTATAATCTCAGCTACTCAGGAGGCTTAAGTAGGAGGTAGCAAAAATATGAGACCCTCCCTGAAAATAACTAAAGCCAAAAGGGCTGCAAGTGTGGGTCAGGTAAGGACCCAGAGTTTAAATCCCATACCACAAAAAAATAAAACAAAGAAAAACAGTTTTCTTCTTTCCCACATGAATTATGACAGAGAGTAGGAGAAGTGATATTCCAAAATAAAATGACTGAAGGTTATTGTCATTTGAATAAGACTTTGTGTATATGTTTGGTACTGGAGTTCGAACTCAGGGCCTTATACTTGCTAGGCAGGTGCTATACCATTTGAGCCATGCCCCCAGCTCTATATAAGATTTTAAAAATTAATAATGGTCTGTTCATGTTACACCTAGTAATCTAGACCAAACCCAGGCAGTCTGGTTCCCCAGCCTGTATACTTAACCATCATGCATTGCCATCTTTATTGGGCCAGTGTAAATTTACTTGAAAAGTTTAGATGATGTGTTTTTGTGAAAAGGAACCATATATTGGTCTATAAATTTGAACGTTTTAGGCCAGGTGAGGTGGCCCACACCATCTACTCAGGAGTTGGAAATCAGGAATATCTTGGTTCAAGGCCACCCCAGGCAAAAAGTTTGAGACCCCCCCCCCATCTCAATCAACAAGCCAGGAGTGGTGGTATATATCTGTGGTCCCAGCTGTACTGGAAGCCATAGGTAGTAGATAGGAAGAGCATGGTTAGAGGCTGGCCCCAAGCAAAGACACAAGACTCTATCTGAAAAATAACTAAAGCAGAAAAAGAGCTGGGTGTGTGCCTGAAGTGGTAGAGCACCTAGCAAGCACTAGGCCCTGAGTTCAAACACCAGTAGCATCCAAAATAAAAGAAAAAAATTTAGAGCTTTTTAAAGTAATATAAAAGGTATGTTTTAAATAAGAAGAAACAGCTTACAATCATGAGATCACTCATTTCAACCTCTCTTTCCTTTGTTCCAGGATGGTGAAATGGTGCTTCTGGACGGAGGCTGTGAGTCTTCATGCTATGTGAGTGACATCACCCGCACCTGGCCTGTCAATGGCAGGTATGGCTTTTCTGGTGTAGCAAACCCTGCTGCTTAGGAGTGGACTAGAATATGGACACAAATGGAACAAATGACCAAAGAAATACATGGGATTTTTTTTTTCATTGTTTTTGATATAACTGGGGTTTGAACTCAGGGCTTTGCAAGCCCAAAGCAAGTGCTCAATCACTTGAACCGCACCTCCAGTCCATTTTGGTCTAGTTATTTTGGAAATGGAGTCTTGCAAACTCTTTACCCAAGCTGCCCTCAAACTGAGATCCTCCCAGTCTCAAGCCCCCCAGATAGCTAAGATTACAAGCATGAGCCACCAGCACCCTGCTTATGGTACTCTTATAGGTCGGGTTAACTCTCTTTACAAAGCTCCTGATACTTTTTTTTTCTGCTTACTTTTTAAGACTGTTTTGTTCATCATGAAGCAAAATCAGATACCTAGAAACACACAAACAGTTTCTTTTTTAATAAGTATGAAGTATTGGGGTTTTTTTGTTTTTCCATCTGATTACAAAGATAGTATTTAGTTAGTATTTACTAGCTTGATTAGATTAAGCCTCTGAAGAAAATAATTAGAAAATCTGGACAAAATATTAAAAACAAGTATTTGAAGGCACCAGAGACCTTCTTGAAACAGGCAAAAACTATGTAAGTCTGGCTTTGAAAGAAGAACTGTAATGGGTAAATTTAGTGGTTAGGGCTTTTTGCCTGCATTCCCCAACATAAAGCCATAACCTATTGGCTTAATATATCAGATGATAGATTTGGGTGCTGGCAGAACCAGAAAGATGGAGGAAATTCTTGACGAGAAGGAACCACAGAGAATGCAAGTCCCCAATCTGCATATAAAATATTCAGAAATCCTTGACTGATCAGTAAACTGGGGGAGACCAGTTTGTTTGGGGGAGACCCGAGGAGGCTCAACAAAATAGCAATAGTTGGAAGCTAAATAACTTGAGCAGAGATTTTAGTTGCTTCCCAACAAGAACAGTGTAACATACTTAAAAAACATGTATTGACCTAACAGAGACAGAAAAGGAAAAAAAAGCAGACAAAAAAAACGAGGAACAAAATGGCAAAATGTCAGAACTAAATTCATCTATATCAGCAATGACACTCAAACTTTATACTGTTTAAAAAGAAGCACCCTTAAGTAAAAAGTCACAAATTAATTGAAAATAAAATGATGGGGCAAGACATGGTATAAACATTAATCATAAGTAAACTGGAATGGTGAGCCACGCATGGTGGTTTATGTCTATAATCCCAGCAACTCAGAAGGCTGAAGCAGGAAGATCAGGAGTTCAAAGCCAGCCTGTATTACAAAACAAAACCCTGCTTTAAAAAGAAAGAGGCTGGGAACTGGTGGCTCACACCTATAACCCTATAACCTGAGGATGGATTGTGGTTTGAGGAGAGACATGAGCTCCAAAATAACCAGAGCAAAATGGACTGGGGCAGTAGAGCGCCTGCTTTGTAAGCACAAAGCTCTGAGTTCAAACCCCCATCCCACCAATTTAAAAAAATGAAGGGAGATTGGAAACTGGAATGGTTATATCAATGCAAACAACAGAGACAAAGGAGTGTTACCAAAAGTAAAGAAGGAGATTCCATGTCGACAAAATTGTTATATGTCAGGAGGCATGTCAGTTATGAATGAGCAGGTGCCTAAATGGCTTCAAAATACATAAAGTAAAATAAAAAGAATAAAGAATAAATATATAATCACACACAGTTGACACCTTTCTTCTTAATTTCCAGAACAAATATACGAAGCCATCAGGAAGATAATATTTTACAAAAAGTAATACACCAAACAATGGCAGTCTGCCCATTCTTTTCACATACATGAAACAGTCACTTAAACCATTTGCTAGACTATGAAACAAGTAAGTCTCGGTGAATTCCAAAAGGCTGAATTACAACGAAATTAGATTAAGAAATCATAACAATGAGATATATTTTTTTATGTCCCCAAGTACTTCTGTATTTTTATTGTTGTTGTTTTGAGGTTTTTTTGTTTTGGTTTTGTTTTTGTTTTTTTGTGGGACTGGGGTTTAAACTTAGGGCTTTACACTTGCAAAGCAAGTACTCTACTGCGTACGCCACATGTCCAGTCCATTTTTGTTCTGGTTATTTTGGAAATGGGGGTATCATGAGCTGTTTCCCTGGGCTGGCCTCGAACCTCCATTCTCCCAATCTCAGCTTCCCAAGCAGCTGAGATTATAGGTATGAGCCACCGGCGCCTGTCTTTTTGAGGCAGGGTCTCCCTGTATAGCCCAGGCTTCTCTGGAACTTGCTGGAATTCCAGGCTGTCCTCAAATTCTTGATTATTCTGCCTCACCCTTTCAAATCCTAGGATTATAGATGTGAGTCACCAAGCCTGACTAGTGAACGTATTTTAAATTACTTGTGGATTAAAGATGAAGTAACAAAAGACACTTGCAATATATTTCAAATGGAGTAGCATATCAAAATGTGTGGGATACAGTTGAAGCACAAATTTATAACCTTAAATGTTTATATTAGAAAGACAGAAGGCACTGGGAGGTATAGCTATACCTCCCAGGTATTAGAATACTTACCTAGCATGCCGTGGGTTTTATCCCTAGCACAGGAAAAAAAATAAAAGACAAGAAAAATTTACTCAATAATATAAGCTTTTACCTTAAAAAGCTGAATAAATTAATGTCAAAACTAAGAAGCAGCAAATAATGAAAATCAGACCAGACATCAAAGAAATAGAAAAAAAAAAAAACAGTAAAACAGTAGAGAAAATTAACAAAGCCAAATAATTGTTCCCTAGAAAGATTAATAAGGAGCCTTTACTCCCATTTCCTGTGTGGGGAGCAGGAAATGTTTCTCCCTTCCCCCCCCCCACTTCTCCCTACTTTATCCTGTTAATAATAAAAATCCTTGCTAAAATTTAAAGACAGAAAGGATAGGCGGGAAGGAGGAAGGGAGGGAAAAACATTAACAATTGATAAACTCTGACAAGAGAAAACACAAAATTGGGCTGGTAGAGTGGCTGAAGTGGTAGAGCACCTGCCTAGCAAGTATGAGGCCCTTAGTTCAAGCCCCAGTACTGCCAAAAATAATATTTTAATACTGTGGTGGTGTGGGGAGTACAGTACATTTATAGGTCATATGTTCATAACTGTTGTTTTTTTCTTTTATATATTCATAACTATTGGTAATGGTTGAACCTAGGAGATGAGTATATAGGTGTTTATGAGTTATAGGTGTAACAAAAAAAGTTACAGTACTTTTTTTGTCGGGGGTTGGTCATACTGGGGTTTTGAACTCAGGGCTTAACGCTTGCTAGGCAGGCACTCTGCCACTTGAGCCAATTGCCAGCCCTATGATATTATTTTTGGTGTTTTTGAAGCAGGGTCTTTCTGTTAAGCCCAGGCTAGCCTCCAGCTCAAAGTCCTCCTGCCTCAGCCTTCTTAGCACTAGGATTATAGGTGTGTGTCACAATTCCTGGCTTTCATCATACTATTATATTGCGATATTTAATTATTCTATTAGGGAATATTTAGAATTTGTCTAATATTTTTAAATTATAGAAAACACACAGTGACAAGTGTACATGCAACTTTAAATTTCAAATATTTCTTAGTATGAATTCTTTGGGCAAAATTATAAGCTCAAATTATATGATTATCCTTAAGGTCTTTGATTCAATTGGCTGTATTAATTTATGCTTCCACCAACAGTGTATAAGAAAACATGATAAATCATACTAGCTCACTCTTTTCTCATTTTCCCCCCATGATTGCTAAAGAAATTGCTATTCTAAAGACATTCATACAGTAGTAAGTTACTAGTAGTGAAGGTATTGAATGGTTCATTCCATGACATCTGCTTCACCTATCAGAAGTAGATTCCTAGGGTTTTTCCTTTTTTTTTTTTTTTATTTTCCATGATAGTATGTACAATAAAGGATGAGAAAATATCAAAGGTGTGCCTGGACTGGGTACATCATCTAGCCTTGCCTCACAGGCACCTGCTGACCATCTGGAGGAAACTATGTTGCTGCTCTATCTTGGAGGAGTGTTGCTCTTCCTGTTGAGCATCTAAGGCATGAGTGGGGTTCTTTCGATAATGATATATGAGTACCTACTAAATATTAAAATAACAACAATGCCCTGTTCCTGCGACCTGCGTGAGCTCTTGTCCTAGAAACCTGTCTGGGAAGGACAGGAGATGCAGAAAGGACAAAAGATAGAAGACAAACATGCAGAAAACTAGGGTCAGGTGTGCTGGGTACTCAGATGGAGATGCCCAACAGCCACTTTTACTTCTTTTCTATTCCTTTACTTCTTTTCGAGTTCCTGTACAAACTCTAAAAACTGCATTAGCATAACTCTTAAAGTCTTGGTCCTTAGACTGCATTGTCCCATGTTTTCTTTAGCATAGCTTTTTAAAGCCTAAACATAGATTTCTCAGTGCAAAAATCTGGGATGAAGGCACACAACCACAGCCTCTGCATTAGCCAGCAGCCAGCAGCAGCACCCTTGTCCTCCTTCAGCGAGTCTTTTATATACCATGGCAAACAAGGAAGTGGAGCAACAGTTCTGGTGGGGAGGGGCATGACATTGTAACAGAAAAAACCTGCCATTGCTACTATCTGAATTTAAACATCTTAGGAAAAGCAGCTGTGCTGCATTTTGCCCTGGCCAGCTTCTGCAGCTGGGGCTGTGCCAGCTCATCCTGCAGATTATTGGGCATAGCTGTGCTCATGTCAAGTTCTCATAGGCTTCTCATAATCTGCTCCATACACCCTATCAGCAGCAGCCTGGAGTTTTGCTAATCAAACTGAAGCAAACTTTTGCAGTATCTGATTATTCTGAATTCACATTTTTTCCTGTCCCCAGGTTCACTGCCCCTCAGGCAGAGCTCTATGAAGCTGTTTTAGAGATCCAGAGAGCTTGTCTGACCCTCTGCTCCCCTGGGACAAGTTTGGAGAACATCCACAGTGTGATGCTGGCACTGTTGGGGCAGAAGCTGAAGGAGCTGGGAATCATGAAGAACAGCAAGGAAAATGCCTTCAAGGTACTTTACTCTCTTGACCCCAGTTCTCAAGAGCACCTAACACGCTGCTCAGTGTTTTGCCTGTATAATAAAATTAATTAGATTTAGAAATGGTCTTTGTAATTCTTTATGTATAAGAAGGACTTGGCTTAACACTAAAACAAAGAGAGTCGGTACTTATTTCTCCCAGAAGATGGCAGCACATTCTGATTCATTGCTTACCTCATAACCAACTCAATTCCCACAGAGTGGAAAAGGTCACAAAAAAGAGGTTAAAAAATTTTTTTTAAGTCATAACAAAAGAAGAGGTTAACTCTTAATCCTTCTGTGGGGATTCTGGGGGGCCAGAGAAATGGGTTTGCTGCTTCAGTAACAATATTGAGACTTCATCACTATACCCAGGGACCACACCAAAATGTAATGGTGTCCAATAAAAATATAAAAGCTCAGCTTTAAAGTTAAGATATTAAGTGCTCAAAACAGACAGACCATTTGGCTCTTCCACTTCCAAGTTCAGGCTGCCAGGGCTCCTATTACCAATAGAAAAAAAACTATAAATTCCCTGCTGCATAGACCATCAGGTCTTTAGTTAACTGACAGAAATATCTAAGCTGATAAATGCCCAATAACTGTGCCTGCTCACCTGCTTTTGTGGGACATTTAGGGTCTCCAGAGTAGGCTTCCTGAAAGGGATTTGTGAATTGATTTTTTTTTTTTTTTTTTTTTTGGCAGCACTGGGGTTTGAACTTAGCCTGATACTCACAGGTGCTTTTATCACTTAAGCCACGCTGCCACCCCTAGGGATATGTGAAGAGAAGAGAACATTCTGCCAGGCACTGGCAGCTCACATCTATAATCCTAGCTACTCAGGAGGCAGAGATCAGAGAACTGTAGTTCGAAACCAGCCCAGGCAAATAGTTCTCAAGACCCTAATCTCGAGAAACCTAAAACCTAATCATGCAAAAGGGGGCTGGTAGAGTGACTCAAGGTGTAGGCCCTGAGTTCAAGTTCCAGTACCGCAAAAAAAAAAAAAAGAAAGAAAACATTCTAACATAGCCATCCTCCCTTCCCCAGGCAAAGAGATCTTTTTCTTTTTTGTTTTTTATTTTAGTGAGAATAGAGTTTGAACGAAAGGCTTCATGCTTGCAAAGCAGGCTCACTACTGCTTGAGCCACACCTCCAGTCCATTTTTGCTCTGGTTATTTTGGAGATGGGGTCTCTGGAACTGTTTGCGCAGGCTGGCCTGAAACCTCAATCCTCCCAATCTCAACCTCCCAAGTAGCTAGGATTATAGGACTGAGCCACTAGCAGCTGGCTGAAAAAAGAAATTTTCATTGCTACAGTCATCACTGAGATTTCCCAAGTCAGCATGTGTCTAGTAGATTTAATAGCAGATGGGAATACTGATTAGTTAGGATGCCAGTAACAAAATTGCATATAAGAGGTAGCAGTTGAAGCCAGCCTGGGCAAATAATTTCAGAGACCCCCATCTCCAAAATAAACAGGGCAAAATGTACTCGAGGTGCTTTGTGAGTGCAAAGCCCTGAGTTCCAATCCCAGTCCCACAAAAAAAAAGAAAAAAAGGTAGCAGTTTATGAGGTGTCAAGCATTAGTCTAAGGATAGATTGAATAAAAGTGGCAGAAGCATGGGAGAGATATTAACATACACCTCACTGATTTATACATGCTCAACTTTCCCCTTAAGAGGTCATCATTCTTATAATACTGTGGTAATTATTTTTTCCAGGCTGCTCGAAAATACTGCCCTCACCATGTTGGCCATTACCTTGGAATGGACGTACATGACACTCCAGACATGCCTCGTTCCCTCCCCCTGCAGCCTGGTATGGTGATCACAGTTGAGCCAGGTAAGGAGAGGGGTTAGCAGCTCTGATCCCTTGGGACATGAAGTAACCATTGCTAGACTGGCAGAATGGCTCAAGTGGTAAAGTGCCTGCCTGGCACTCAAACCCCAGTTCCACTAAATAATAAATAAATAAAATTGCTTATTTTTACCTGAATCAACACTAATTAAATCATGAGAAACGGAGGCGAGGGGAGGGATCTCTCCAGTGTTAGAAGGTAACTTATTTTAGATTTAGCTTAGCTTTCTTATTTAACATCACACAATTTGTTTAATTTGACTCCTCCAATAAACAACAGATGGTGAATACTTTCTATAAGTACATATTAAGAAATCTTTTTAATGCTGCCTTTGCCAGGACGAGTTTGTGCTAGTAGTGGTGGGTTGCTCAGGCTTCCAGAGCCCAGGCCCTGTAGTCAGAAAGGCACTCAGACTCTGTGTTCAGTTGCAGCACCCCTTCCAGCTGCAGTAAACTACCCAGCATTATCCTATAAGTCCTTTTTTTTTTTTTTCCTGGTTTTTCGAGACAGAGTCTCACAGTGTAGCCCAGGCTGGCTTTGAACTCAAGATCTTCCTGCCTCAGCCTCCCGGGTGTGAGGACTACAGGTGTGTACCACTGTGCCCAACTTCATCAAGTCCTTTCTCAGAAGCTTCAGAAGAAGCTGACAGTCAAATAGGTGACCTGAATGGAGTGATGTTGGCTTTTAGGCAGAATGTCCAAGTCCACTTGGTGTGGCCATTGTGGGGCGATGTTATGAGCGTTGATTTTTAAATACTAATGCTGCTTTCAATATGAAAAACAGATCTCAGCGTTAGACTTAAAACATTTTAATCTGAGTTATGGCTGAGAAACTTCAAGTCATACGTTGCTGTTGGTGGCCTCATGCCGTGTGGCCCAGTCTTATTAGTAACTGGTGCACATGGGTTCTTCCTTGGGCGTTGACTACAATCTGCCCTCTGCTGGTATTTGTTTTTTGGTTTTGGCGGGCGGGGGGAGTGTTTTGTTTTGCAGTACTGGGGTTTGAACTCAGGCCCTACACCTTGAGCCACTGCACCAGCCCTTTTTTTTGTGATGGTTTTTTTTCGAGATAGGGTCTCAAGAACTATTTGCCCGGGCTGGCTTCGAACCTCAATCCTCCTGATCTCTGCCTCCTGAGTAGCTAGGATAACAGGCATGAGCCACTGGCACCTGGCTTCTCACTGCTGGTCTTTGTATTACAGAGCATTGTCTGAGTGTAGTGGAGGAAATCTGCAGTAGCTTCACAAAAACTGACTGACTTCAGGATTAGAAAGAAAGCCTGGGGCTCCTCAGTTTTTCCTAATGTACATTAAAGTTTTCCTGTACATCAGTTAAACTTGCCAGTTTTATTTTGTTTTTTCGATTATAGCTTATTTGAGAGGATGTTTTTGTTTTCCTTTGGTGGGACTGGGGTTTGAACTCAGGGCTTAGTGCTTGCAAAGCAGGTGCTTTACCACTTGAGCCACATCTCCAATCTGAGAGGATAAATGACCATTTCTGGAGCTTCTGCTTGTTGAGGGCTAATCATCTCTGTTTTAATACATTCTATCTTCAAAACACTGTCTTGCTAAATTGCCCAGGCTGGCCTAGAATTTGTAATTCTCCTGCCTCAGCTTCCCTAGTAGTCGGAATTACAGGCATGTTCTTACCATGCCTAGCTGTTTTTTGTTTTGGCAGTACTGAGGTTTGAACTCAGGGCCTTACACTTCCTAGGCAGCACTCTACTTCCAGCCCTCACATTTTATCTTTATTTTAGCATATGCTTTTTCTCCAGGGGACTATTGGGCAAGGAAGAATACACTTACATATAGTAGATCCATGGTACCCATGGGTATGTCATTCTGAGGAGACTGTTGTTGAGGAGAAACCCGAATGCTTGGGATACTCAGTTGAGTACCATACTGCAGATGCTTCACTTATTATTTCATAACACTACCCAACTTCTGCTACACACATGCCACCTTTCAACAAATCTCAGATTTTCATTTTACCAGTTAAACTAAGCACATTGTATTCCTCCTTTTTGGCTTGAGAGATTTAACTTATACCTTGCTTTTGGGGAGACATATTTTCACAAAATTAAGGTCAGAACACTCAGCTAATGACAGAACAATTAAACACAGCTGATCATGCAGGACTGTCAGAACTTCTCCATGTCAACTGAGCTGCATAATGCACTCGGGAATTAAAATTTCTCTTTTTGAAATTGCTTTTGATTTTATTTATTTATTTGACCACACTTGGTCAAAACCACATGTAATAAATCCATGAATATGACTGGCTTACTATAACCTGCTGGTTCCCAACATCTATATACATATTTATATCGTTTGCATATATACATACTTATATTTATGTAGTACCCTGATTGAGTCACTAGACTAGGACAGAATCATAACAGCATTACCATTGTTGTATGGAGCCTGTCATTCAGTGTACAGAAGGACTACAGTAATAATTGTGATGATGATAGCCAGCACTGCTGATCATTGCGTACCATTATGTCACTTAATCCTCACAACTCTCAGGCACAGATGAAGGAATTGTAACCCAGAGAGGATGACTTGCCCTAGACCCCTCAGTTACTGTCACTGCTGAACCACACTCTTTTCTCTACTTCTCAGGCATTTATATTCCAGAGGATGACAAAGATGCTCCAGAGAAGTTTCGGGGTCTCGGTGTACGAATTGAAGATGATGTGGTGGTGACTCAGGACTCACCTCTAATCCTTTCTGCAGATTGTCCCAAAGACATGAATGACATTGAACAGATCTTCAGCAGGGCCTCTTGATTCCCCCCACTGCAGCCCACATGCATCTCAGGTTCAAGATGGGTGTTGGCATCCCTGCACATGTGTTCGGTCTCTGTGTGTGTTTATACACATGTTCCATTTGGGAGTACAGCAACTGTGAGAATGTGTGTGATTGTGTAACTGGGCTTTTCGTTTTAAGTAGATGGAAATCTAGAAAAGCAAATTTTGGAATCATTTGTTACTGTAGCTTCAGCAACATTCTGTAGAATTAGTGATCTAAATAAGTTTAATTTTCAACATAAAGTAAGGTCCATGCATTCCAATGAATGCATTTGAATATGGAGAAAATCCTCTTCTTCTCTTCAGGTTCTTTCCGTAATGCACTTTTGCTGACCTCCACTTAATCTCCTGTTTGTGTGATGCCTATATTTTAAACTAATTACCAAGGTCTCTGCCTATGCTAAAAGCCACCTGTTGGTGGATAGCCTATTCATACCTTCTATAATTTATGCCTGCCTATTCCAGATATCCAGATATACATATCTACTGGAGCCACTCAGTCCTCAGAGGCACTGGCATACTGCAGTTTTTCCATTCAGTCATAGTCCAGAATCCAGCAGTACCAGTCATCCAACAAAATAATTTTGAGCCTTTCTTGCCATCTGGTTGCCTGAGACCTGAAAAGTGTTTATATTCTTCATAAGGAAGAAAATGGATGGTTTTTAAAAAACTATAGTTTGGCCAGGCACTGGTGACTCATGCCTATAATCCTACTTACTCAGGAGGCAGAGGTCAGGAGGATTACAGTTTGAATCCAGCCGGGGCAAATAGTTTGAGGGATCCTATCTCGAAAAAATCCTTCACAGCTGGACGCCAGCAGCTCACACCTATAATCCTAGCTACTCAGCAGGCAGAGATCAGGAGATCACAGTTAGAAGCCAGCCTGGGCAAATAGATTTCGAGACCCTATGTTTCAAAAATACCTAACACAAAAAGGGCTGGTGGAATGGCTCAAGCAGTAAGAGCGCCTATCTAGCAAGCATGAGGACCTGAGTTCAAACTCCAGTGCACCTGCCAAAAAAAAAAAAGTACAGTTGTGTCTACTACAGATCTAGACCTCCAGCCATGAATATATAAAGATGATTCCTTTTCAAGACAACCATGTTTCCTTCATAGGTTTTTTGTTTTGCTTGTGTTTTCATTTTTTTTGTAATGCTGGGGATCAAACTTGGGGCCTTGATTGTGCTAAGCAAGTGCTATACAACCCCCTGGTGGTGGTTTTTTGTTTGTTTGTTTGTTTTGCGGGACTGGGGTTTAAACTCAGGGCCTACACCTTGAGCCACTCCACCAGCCCTTTTTTGTGAAAGGTTTTTCGAGATAGGGTCTCAGGAATAATTTTACACAGGGCATCAATCTTTTTCGTTCTTAGCCATGCCACAGACATACCCCACATTTCCTCCTGTTCCAAGTATAATATTTCATACATACACCAAGCTTTCCTCCTGAACGATAAAAAAAAAAATCCTCCAATGTTATCACTAGAATTTTTCTCCCTGAATTTAAGACATGGTTATATCATTAGCAACAACCATTTAAAGGTTAGAGGTACAGCTGAATGGTAGAGTGCTCACCTAGCTTGTGCAAGGCTCTGGGTTTGATTCCCAGTACACACTCATTTAAACAACTTTAAATGAAGGAGGCATATCTAGGTAGCCAGTATCACATGCTTTTATGTATTTATTTCAGAAATTGCTCTTTTTCTCCCATAGTCAAGAAACTGGTAATGTATTTTGTTTTGTTTTTAATTAGAAACAATAGTAGGAATACTGAAGTAAGAATTCACCTCTTCAGTCTCCTAATTAAGAAGGTACTTCTGATGGAGCTGCCTCACTCTAGCCTGTCTCTTAATTTTTGTAAGGTTAGAAAGGGAAAGAAAACCTTCACCATAGTCATTCTGTCTTGAAGTTAAGATCCATAATTTCATTAAGAAGAAATACTCAGTTTTGTCCTATTTTCCCAAATCTCCATACACCCGCTTCTGTTTCATTAACAATTCAAAGATTAAAGCCAGGCATGGGAGACCACACTTGTAATCCAGTACTTGGGAGGCTGAGGCAGGAAGGATCTCAAGTTTAAGGCCAGCCTGGATTTACATATCAAGACCGTGTCTCAAAAAAATTAAAGTTTTAAAACTAATACAAAGACTGTAAATATGAAGCATGGGTTTTGCCTCTCCCCTCTCCCATGCTGCTTTCAGCTCAGGAGTGAGGAGGCATAGTGAGCTCTTCTAGCAGTACAGCTTTCACCTGGGGTCCTTTGCAACAAAGTTTCCAATAATTTCAAATCAGAGTTGGAATTTGAGTTGGAGCCTGCCTGCTAGCAATTCCTCAACTGTATATGATAGGTGGTAGTGTAGCTTGTTTGTGTGTTTCTTAGAAATTAAGTGAAAGCCCAAGATGGACTCCATTAAAGGACCCTGCGTGGAAGAAGTGTTTATGGTGTGGCTAATTTTTTTTTAAATTTTAGCTTCCTGAAGTAGATCCATAGCCCAGAACTCAAGCAGGTAGGATAGGTTTTAAGCCTAGGCAAGTATGCTTTAAACTGAAGTGGTATAAATGTTCCTGGAATAATGAAAAGTGCAATACATGATTAAACCCTAACACCAGAGCAGAATTCCATGGTCAGAAGCTGCATGGATTCTAGTTGCTGTGTTTCTCCTTGTGATACTGAGGAACTTTAAATGAGCATCAGTATTGTTTGGGTCAGGGGTCCCCACTGGAATCAAGGCCTCTTGGTATGTGCTCCATAAGAATCTGAGAAAACTGCAGTCTTTGTTAGCATTTCTTAATGCTTTGTATGACTTTTGTGCAATTATATAAGCTCAATTTGGACAAAATGCTGTTACTTTTAAGGATCTAGTCATTGAAAATAGATAATGTCATTCCCCAAAACAAGGGGAAAACATTTGTTACTGTCATTTTTAAAAATATACTATAAAGCAGTTTAAAAGTGTGTGTGTGTGTGTGTGTGTGTGTGTGTGTGTTATTTTAGAATCTACTGTTTATTGGTTAAACATGAGAACATTTTATAAAATATTTTACAAAGTGTTATAACTGATGTCACAAAATAATATTAAACTTGAAACAATTTTACCAGTTGAAGAGAGAAAAACAATGGTTTTGATCCAGCCTACTGGATCAAATAGGTTGGCTCTCCTCAACAACTGACCCATCAGCCTCCAGACAGCCCTAAGGCCCACAAGACTGAACATTTTAGGGCAGGATAGACATGTGGAAAGTAGGATCAATTTGCAAATATGTGACTATGGGAACTTTTCTTCATGAGCCATGTGATAAGTCATCAGTATAGCCATCTCCCCCATTAGGAACCATCTTTAAATCTGAGCTCTCACATTGGAGGTGTGGCTCAAGCAGTAGAGCACCTACTTTACAAGCACAAAGCTGAGTTCAAACCCCCGTCTCACAAAAAAAAAAAAAAAAAATCTGAGCTCTCTCTTGGAAAGGAGTACCTCCCAACATTTTTCACATTGTGACTCATGTAGAAAGATACTTTTTTTTTTTTTTTGTCTTTTTCTTTTTTGGTGCTGGGATCGAACCCAGGGCCTCAGGCATGCTAGGCAAGCGCTGTACCACCGAGCTACATCCCAGCCCTTTTTTTTTTTTTTTTTTTTTTTTTTGAGACAGGGTCACTGTGAAGCCCACACTGACCTCAAACTCTTGATCTCCTTCCTCAGCTTCCTGAGTGCTAAGATTATAGATGTGCACTATCACACCTGGCAAAAGATACTTTTTTTCTTTTTGGTAGCACTGGGATTTGAACTCAGCCTCACACTTAACTAGGCAAGTACTCATACCACTTGAGCTGCTCTGCCAGTCTGAAAGATTCTTTTTGTGTAGAACAATGGAATAAACTTGAGAGGACATTGGGTTGATTACATGTGATTTAGGGAAAAATTCATTATGTATCTTTTATATAATTATGATAAGAAAAATTATACAAAGTTTTATAGAATTTTTTTAAAATTTGTATGACACTTTCCAAAAAAATAATTTTTAAAAATGTTAATGAAAGATTTGAGCTTACATCTAGGAACTTGGCTTTTTTTATATCAGATTGAAATAACTACACAATTCTTGATGCAGGCTTTTTAAAGTGATAATGTCTTCAGATTCTTCATAGTCACCATTTAAAGAAATTTATTTGCACAAGTAAATGCTAGAAAACTTAAAAGTATTTTTATGATCACTCAGAAATTTACTATTGAACTGATAAATAGAATGTGATGAGGCCATACAATGAATATTTTTCAGCCATAAAAAGCAATGATTACCCAGGCACCAGTGGCTCATGCCTGTAATCCTAGCTACTCAGGAGGCAGAGATCAAGAGGATCATGGTTCAAAGCCAGCGTGGGCAAATAGTTTGTGAGACCCTAACTCAAAAATACCTGTCACAAAAAAGGCTTACGGAATGGCTCAAGGTGAAGGCCCTGAGTTCAAGCCCCAGTACTGCCAAAAAAAAAAGGAATGATTAATGATACAAATGGATAAACCTTGAAAACATGTTCAGTGAAAGAAGCCAGACACAAAAATTGGATAATTTCATTTAAATTAAATGTCCAGGGTAGGCAAATGCAGGAAGAAAGAAAGTGGATTAGTGGTTCAAGGGCCTGGAGGGTAGGAAGTGGAGAGTGATAGCCAACAGTTACAGTTTCATTTTAGATGAAATGTTCTAGAATTAGTGTAATAGTTCCACAACTCTGTGAATATAACAAACATCATTGAATTGTATTTTTTTTTAATTGTATTCTTTATAGGAATTAAATCTAAAGAATTTAGTAACTTTCATTAACAAATGTAATTTATAATGTGAATGATTACCAACCCAATGGAATTCTGTTTTGTTTTTTGAGACAGGGTCTCACTGTGTAGCCCAGGCTAGGAACAAACTCATGATCCTTCTGCCTCAGCCACCTGAGTACTTGGATTAACATTTGTGATACCATACTTGGCTACTCAATTGAACTTTTTATTTTTGGTGGGACTGGGGTTTGAACTCAAGACTTCCTTGCCAGGTGCTGGTCACTCACCCTTTAATCCTAGCTACTCAGAAGGCAGAGATCAGGA